TATGCTTACATTGCAGATTAGGCAAATACGAAGGATGCAGTGTGAGTGGTACTTGTAGCATCTTTACTATGTACAATCTTGCTCGCTAGCAAATGTTATTCCTTTACCTCACCATAGAATGGGGCCATGGTGGTTCTGACTGGGATATTTCTCTTGTTTGTCCTCAATTTCTAATAATTGTGTAGAAATCGGGAGAAAGAGACACGTTTATTTAAACTAGATTTCTTGCTTGTAATGATTTATTCACTTGATCTTTCATTTTGCATTTAAGATAAAATGTTGATTCTATCATTACACAATTTGATACTTTAATATCCAACAACAGACTTTAAAAATTTAAGTTTTAAATTCAGGGTCTATATAATCACATGTGATTCAATTTTATTTAAATGGTTTGAGAACCAGTACATTGATTTTGTACATCTGATCATTGCTTAGAAACTTAGATTTAGGAAATAGTTGCTTCATGTGGTTTTTAAGCCAACAAAAGGTGTTGGTTTTCCAGTTCCGAACTGCACACAGTAAGAGATAGAGCCAAGATTAAAAGCATGACCTGGATCCCTCATTTTGCAGCTTGGTCAGTATTACTGCCAGAAAATATCATAAGTTCTTTACCTTGATAATATTTTTCATCTCATCAAATTTGTTTTGCTGTTTTTTTTTTCTTTAGAAAATGAGAAAAATTAAAGGTAAATCAAGAAAGAAAATACTTTGAAGTTGAAAATAAATTGTATTTTGAACTTTCCTTTTGTTTTTGGAATTATCATCTGAACTAGTTGAGAACCATATTTTCTTATGGAATCCTTTCTCATTATGCTTTTGAAAGGACTGTGAAGGGATCATTCATGCATTCTTGAAAATAGACACCCACCTCTTACATAGAAATATAGACTAATCAGATTGTTTCTGTTACAACATGATTGTAGGGCACCAAGAGAGAATTAGAAACTGCTACCACTAGACTATTTTCTTGAGCACTGAACCCCTTGAAGCCATTTATCTAAGGTCTAATATCTGCCATCTTCATTTCTGAAATTTTACCTTACCCTTTTTTTTTCTGATATGTTCGACATGGAAATAACCATTCTAAATGCTTCATCTATTAACTCACTTATTTCCCTCTGATAATAACCCGGAGAGATGGGTTCTGTTCCCTTGAACGGATGAGGACACCGAAGTACAGAGAGGTTATGACACTTGCCCACAGTCATGCCACTGATTGGTAGAAGCAGGAAGCTCACCTGGGTAATCGGCCACTAGAGCTCATCCTCTCACTCACTTGGCTATATTGACAAGGATCACTCACAAAGGGGCTACTGTGTTCTTTTTTGGGGATGGGAATTACTACTGCATTCTCAGATGTTATGAGATCTCTGTGAAAGGACAAAGCAGCTTGCTTTTTTTAGTCAAGGAACAAGGCCATGAGAAGCAAAGAACAGTCTAGGACAGGGGTGGGCAACCCCTGGCACGCGTGCCAAACATGGCACGCCAGTAACTTTTGCTGGCACATGAAACCCTCTCTTATAACCTTCCATTTACATTTTTTTCTTAATATCGATTTTTTTATTTTTCAGATAAATTCAGTGTAGGTGCATCTTAGATGAATAAATAATTTTACATAACAAGTTATCTTAAAGACCATAGACATGGATTGACGAGAGAGGGGAAGAGCAATTTCTATGCCTCTGCCTTAACTCTCCCTGCCTTCCTAGATCTAACCAGTGTTTTGGTTTCATTCACATACGCTTCTGAATCTTTGTCCTCAGTGATGAACTTGGTTAAGTCTTGTAGTAGGAGTAGCCTGATGGATGAAAGTAGTAGCTCGTGCATATCTCTGAAGGTCACGAAATATAAACTTGATGTAAAATCTCTGTCATCAGTGATGCAGCAGCAAAAGTCCCTCTGATAATATCAAACGGAGTCATAAAGTTTTCTGTCGGACTATCAGTGTACATGTATACATTAAAAAATAAATGTATTTTTCATCATCATATACTGTGTTTTTGTCGCTCAAATGAATTTTATTATTTCTTCAAGCTTCTTCACATATGTACACCTTAAGAGATACCAAGTAGGCGTAACATGTTCTCAAAAAATTAGGGTTGGCATGCAGAAGAATTTTGAGTCAGAGATTTTGCTGGTTTTGGCACGCACTCACAAAAAGGTTGCCCACCCCTGGTCTAGGATGAAATGGGCAGTCATTGGGGTTTGTTAGTTAAGACTTCCCTAGGACAAAGCGTAAAGGGAAATTCAGAGGAGCCTGTGGGGAGGAGGAGGAGAGAGAGAAGGACATCTGCTACAGGGTTCCTAAGCGTCCTGATCTACTCATGTAACTCCCTCCCCCTTCTCAGGTCTGCCGTGTAGGAATTCTATCTGTGACTTCAAATCCAGTTTAGCATAAGGCCTTTATACTGTTATATAGAACTAGAGGCCCGATGCACGAAATTTGTGAAAGGCGCTCGGCCCTTGCAGCCCTAGCTTCGTCCAGAAGATCTTCCGGAAGGTTGTCCGGCTGTCTGATCTAATTAGAATATTACGCTTTTATTATTATAGATGCTTTTCCCAAGTCTTGGGAGAGTACCCACATACAGCTTGGCTTAAAGTTATCCTACAAGTCTGCTTTCTTTCTTTGTCTTCTCATAACATCTGATATAGGTGTTACGACTTCTCTACCCTTAGCCAGAGGTGTGCACTGTCAGGTAAATGCATGTGTTTGCACAGTGCCCTTCTCTCTGGAAGGCCAGTTAACATTTCCACTTTTATGGGCTGGATTTGAATGATAATAATGGAAGCCATTTGTTGAGTTGCCTCATGAGTACCAGGCACATCCTCATTTAGTCTTTATAACAACCCCGTGGGCTAAGTATTAATTCTCTGTTGTATAGATAAGAAAAATGGGTCTCAGGAAGGATGAGTGATTGTTCAAGGCTTCACAGCTAATTGGTGAAGTCTAGTTCTGATGAAGCCTTTGTTTTTCTCCTTGACTGATAATTCACTTCGGAGGCTCTCTCTTCATCTTTCTTCCTGAAAGTCGGAAGCAGAACTATTCTTAGGTTAATAGACTTTTCTAATCTCTTAAATAGAAAGTACCTCTCAAGGAGAATGTGAGCTGGTCCCAAAATTTGACCCCTCTTGTGGAAAGAGATGTTAATCTACAAGTGGCATCCTCTTCCCAGAGCATGATTTATTTTCTCAAACAAGGTTTAAAAAATGAAAACAAAAAACCCAGTCTCTTGTGTGTGTGTTTATATGTGTTGTTGTTTTTTAAAAGCTTCTCTGAGACTCAAGGCCTTGATCTTCAGAATTGTTCGTGGTGTGAGGGTGTTGGTGAGTTCTTAGATCACAGTGGCGCCGAAAGTGACCTTCATATTTGGAGACCTATTCGTGTGTGAGTGCTTACTTTGATAGGCACTTAGGCTCGGAGTTTCATGATTGGTGGATGGATTAACATAGTAAGTCATGGGGCCATGTGTAGCCATGGGGCCATAATTGTTCTCTTAAAGAAAAAAGAAATTCTGACACTTGTTAAAAGGGTAAGAAAGACTTTATTCAGGACTGTTATAGATACCAAGTGTCACAATAGGGGAGAGACAACAGGTTCAACTTGAGCAGTTTGAGGGGGGCGGGCGTGGTTGTGGGTGGAAAATTACTAAGAGGAGGTATCAAGGTCAGGAGGATTCTTGGTGAAGGCAGGCCAAGAACTTATTCATCGAAGGTGGGAGATGAAGAATTTGATCAGATATCAGATATCCAGGCTGCGGGTTCTCTCTAAATTGACTTGGCAAGATTCTTGTTAAAACAGGGCTAAGTAGGTAGGCCCCGCGAGGAAGGGGAGCCAAGTAGAGGCCTAGTCAGGAAGAGGGCTCAGAGGAGCCTGACTGAAGATTGGCAAAGAGAGAGTCTTTGTCAGGCCATAGTGATGAATTAAATGTGAGGGTTCAGGTATCGGACTTGAACCATTCAATGAAGTGTAGAGTGAATTTCTGAGAAATGTTTTTCTACTGGTGCAAACTTCAGAGGTGGGACCTTTAAGGCTTCTGTGATGCTGCACTGTCAGATTGATTTATTTTAAATTTTATTTAACAAACTTAAACAGTGCTTAAGTGCCAGGCTCTATTCTAAACCTTTTGCAAATATTAACTTAATCCTTAAAACAACTCTGTGAGGTGGCTGTACCATTGCCATTCACTTTTTACAGATGAGAAACAGGCCCATAGGCGTTACATAACTTGTCCAAGGTCATGTCAGTGGTGGGACTTGGATTTCAACCCAGGCAGCCTGGCTCCCGAGGCTGCGTTCCTATTCAGTCTGTTAGGTTGCATCCCAGGCTTTTCCTCCGAGGGATTTACTTCTCATTATTCTGGACTTTTCTTTATTCTCTTCAGGAATAAAGAATAATTCCTCTTCTGGATATAGTCACACTCTGGACTCTGTTCAGCCGGAAGTCAGATTAAAGAGTATGTTTAGTTGGAGGTCTCCTGTAAATCACAAGATTATTTGTAAACAACCTTTCAGGTGACCTTTCACCCTAGAAGAAGATCAAAACCAGTAGTTTATTGGTAAAAATCTATTCCCTACATGCTTCACAGTCTGTGTTGAATAACATCAATGCCCCTTTCTAATCAAAGGTCGGCTGCCTTTTTTTTTTCCCCCCTCATCAGCAACCTCAGTAGCATTATTTATTTATGTATTTATTTATTTAATAAATAAATGCCCCATTTATAGGGAATGAGTGGTAATTCTTTGGTAAAGGCTTTGAGAGGTTGGCCTCCAGATAATACATGACTGACACCAAAACTTTCTTAAAGGGGCAGATCTCCTTTGAGCAGAGCAGATCCAGTTCCTAAAATATTTCTTTAGTAGTCTTTAAATTCTGCTTGCATTTGTTAAGCTGGTATTTTTAAAGGCTCTGGTTAATATAGTATTAACATCAAAATTATGTGTGGAAGTGAGCATCCCATGGTACATTCAACTTACGACTTTTAAACTTTTAATTACAGATCTGTCTATGGCAGTACAGAAATTTTCCCAGTCATTGCAAGACTTCCAATTTGAATGTATTGGTGATGCTGAAACAGATGACGAAATTAGTATTGGTGAGTACTACTGTTCTTCAATATCCTAAGTAATAACTTTTCTAAATTTTTGTTTCATTTTATTGTTGACAGTATTATAGATGTCCCCCAATTCTCTTCTCCCCCCCACTGTGTCCCCCTCCTCCTAGCTCCTGCCCCACCCTAGGCCTTCACCACACTATTGTCTGTGTCCATTGATTATGCATATATGTATATGTGTTCTTTGGTTAATCTCTTCCCTTATCTCCTCCCCTCCAACGCCCCCCCCCTTCAATTTCCTAAATAATAATTTTAAAAGTCCTACTTATGATTCTGACTTAATTGAAATCAAACAGATTCACACACTCAAATATTAAACATGTAAAATATTCTGACTTTGATAAAGGTAAAGGGCAATTTTGGGGAACCCTAATGAGTTAGTGTACACCAGATATCCAAGGCCAGTCTGAGCGTGGGAATCCATATCAGGATGTTCGAGGCCAAGTGGCCACAGGCAGGTGCAAGGACGCAGCAGTTTCACTGGATACACTGCGCAAGCGTCCCCTTCTATAACCCAGAATTGATGTCACTATTTGGCAAGAAGCTTCTTTTGTCTAAGCTCGTATAAAGTGTGTTACTGACCAGCCGGCGAGAGGCTGCTGTTACGTGAGGCTGTTTTACTAGGAGGGCTGCTATATTAGCAGTCCTTGCTTTACTGGACTGCTTTGTCTAATGGCTCCTTAGTAGCAATGGCTACCTGGACTGCAATAAAGACTCTCTTATACGCCTACGACTCCTTATGTCTTCTCCGTCCAATACCTAGTGTCCAAGGAGGTCCAGTTCCTGGCAGGGGAACTGAGGCCCAACAGTTGGCGTAGTGGAGCAGGATTCAAGGAGTGAGTACTCCAACAATGGGCGCAGCGGACAGGGTCAAGGAGAAACTTACTCCCCAACAGTATTATACATTGTTTTAAAACTGAGCTCTGTGGTTTCTTCCATAAGGAAATTACTTAATCATTCTATATTTCAGCTCTGCCCTTGGAGAAGATGTGGACAACAATGTTTGTCTCTGCCTCAAAGTCAGTCGTTCATTCAAACTAATACATATTGGGTGTCTCTTATTAAATATACAGGGTACTGGTTTAAATATTTCTTTTTTAACTTAATACGGTTTTCTCTTTTAGCATGAGTATTTGTTTATATAGGGGAAAGAATCAGTCATAATGTATTACACTAGTATTATTACAGGACACAGAGCATTACTGGGGATTAGGAGACTTGAGCCCTAATCCAGTTTTGCCACAGTAATTTAGCACTCTCACCCTGGGGAAGGCATGCCCCTTCCTGAATCACATGGTTTCATTTCTCACAAAGTGAATAGGTTCGGTTATGTGATCTGCGAATTTTTTTCTGTATCTGAGTTTACTGTTTGGAGATCAGATTTATGCAGCATTCTTTCTCCCACATTTTAACAATCCCTACTTGTCAGTTTGTAGACGTGGGGTCCATTTGTAGATTAGAGACATGGCCACATCGTCAGAAGACTGGATAAAATGTGTGTACGCTTTAGAGAATAATACTAGGTGTACTCATCTTCCAGGTATACAAATAGAATATTACAAGTATCTGGAACAGCGACTTCCAAGCTTTTATGTGTGTATAAAACACTGAGAGATCTTATTAAATGCAGATTCTGCTTCAGAAGGTCTCAGGTTGGGTGTGTGGGTCTGCATTTCCATCAGACTTGGAAGTGACGCTGCCGGGGCCTGGACCGCACGTTGAGCAGCAGAGATTTATGATTCCTGACATGCCTTTCCTCAGTCACATTCCTCTCTTTCCTCTGCCATTTCTTCTGTAGTTTTCCCAGTTCCATGCATTTTAAAATAAAATTTTTATTATTTTTTTAAACCTAAGTAGCAAGCCCCAACCTAGCTATCCAAGGACAGGGCAATGTTATCTCCGCAAAAGAAAGGCTTTCCGGAGAAGATCGGCTGATTGAGTGTCTGATTCATTGTGTGACTTTAGCTGCTTACATCCATGAGAGTTTCTCCCGGAGAAGTCACTGGGCAGAGTGCAGAGTCCGTAGACAAGCCCTCCCTGCATGTGGCACGCTCACGGTCACGTTGGCCGTCTTTCAGAGGAGCTGTGCCAGGCACTCATTTTCTTAGCTGAGTGGTAGTTACCTGAGAGGGTGTGGAGGTGGCTGGGCTCTTGGAATCTGATGGTTTCTTCTGCTCTCAGGTCTCTGAGGACAGGTGGCTGAGCCATGCCCGCACTTGGCTGAGGGGTACTCAGGAGCCTCTAGGAAGAAGGGAGAGGACCGAGAGGCAAAGGACATCAGTGTCCATACTCCACCGAGATGTGGAACAATAGTTGTCATTTCATGCGCCACTTCTTGACACTTGTCATAAATGTCTATCCCCCAATGCAGGTGTTGTAACATACACTTCACCAGAAAAAAACCTATTATATTACTAAAATATTAACATATTAGCATTAGTATGTAGAAAAAAAACAATACCCCTATACTTGTATAACTACAATTATTTTGACTTAGAAATGATACCTATAAATTCCAAGAAGGCAGAGAGTTCAGATCTCTTTTTTTATTTTTTTTTTTAGAGAAAGAACAAAAAAACATTTTAGCATTAGCACCTGACCTAGGGCCTGACTCATAGTAGCCCCTCTGTTAAATTGTTTAATAAATGACAACTTTCCTTATAAAATTTAATTTTTTCGCTTATGTTTATGCTTTTTAATAGCATTATATCTATAATTTAGAAATTATATATATATATAAATTTGTTTTTTCTTTTTAAAGAGGATTATAGTAATTACTTCTGAGTTTTTATAGATATAATTTTTAATAATTTCATAGTTTTAAAATATTCCATCAGATTCATATAACTGAATTTATGAAGTCTCTTGAGTACATTCACACTGACTCTAGGTGGTCTTTTTCTTGTTATTAGCAGTATAGTAAACATTTCTTTTAATTTCCATTGTGCTTCTTACTTAAAACACCTTCTTGAAGGCACACTAGTGACTGCAGAGGTAGGTTTTCAGTCACTGCCATGTGACCTTCCTGGCCGATGTCAAGTGATTTCCTCAGGTTGTGGTAGATTTGATATCTCAACATTGATCTGTGTGTCTCTTTCCACTTTGGCTAACGGGATGTTGTGGCTCTTGCAGGTTAGATTTGAAAGGTGTGAAGTGATCAGTAGGTAAAGGCTTATTATACGCAATGAATATTGCATTTAATTCTAATGCTTGGAGGGCTTTGCAAAGTTAGATGAAGGTGAATACTATATAGGAGTAGGTGTAATATTATTTGCTACTTACATATCAGGAGACTTTTTTAGCTCCTATTGCAGAGAATCTGACTTAAACACCGATGTTTTATTAGGAAAACCTAACTTAGAATAAAAATATTTATAAACTTAAATTATTTCTGAAACAACTAATGTAAAAATATAAATATGTTCTCATAGCCTCTCCATCTAACGCTTTTTATCCTGAGCCCCAAGCCCAGTCTGAACAGTTAAAAGTAACAATGTATAGAATAAAGAAATTGTAGACTTCCGGTAATCATCCCTAACATGAGGGCTTATGTACCAAGGACAGGCATCCAGGAATGTATCGCAGGGACTAATTGGTAAGGCTGGCGTGGGTGGAGTGCAAGAACTGCCCTTACCCCCTTTGTCATACTCAGTTCTACATGGGAAAGGACAGAGCATCAGTTGTCTTTAAAATAGCTTGTGGAAGCCTGGGTTTCAGCTTCTTTATTTCTCTGATTTAATAAGAGAGGAATGAAGTAGGGACAGCTGTGACTCTTAGCTTTTTGTATTAGCCACAGCCCTCCCTGCCAGAGTAGTCTTGAGACCTAACCAAGGACGTAACCACTAAATCTGATGACTTACCAGAAACGCTCATTTTTTATAATTGAGCAATGTCAGTAGCAAAATAACACATAAAATCAAGACGTTTGCAGACTTTCTGTAAGTTATGGTGGTGGGAATGGATGGGAGGGCATTAGGAAAGTGAGTAAGATGTCTGCTTTCCATGTGCTTACAGTGGAATAGGGTGGGAAACAGATTTTGAACAAAGTAAGTAGAAGAAGGTGCTGTTTCTATAATTACCTAATTAGTGAAGCTGTTGCAGGACATTTTTTTAGACTGGTAGGGCTGTGTCTGGCCTGTAAATTGGCCCCGCTCTTCAGCTGCCCCCTCCTGCTCCCACCTCTTTGGCCTGTGCTTGCTGGCTTTTTGGTTTGTTTGTTTTGGTATCAGTGAGACGGTGTTGGCATGGGAGGAAGCAAAATGGGAATAGTGGTCTGGGACGCAGTGGGGAATTCCTGTGGCTCAGAGAGCAGGTTAGTTGTTTCCAGAATTAAAGTCCCAAGCAGGGCAGCATCACACACTCTCCTTTTAGCATCTCCCTTCCCATTCAAGAGCAGCCAGAGGTCATGGCTTCTCCCTTTTCTAAGGATGAATGAGCTGCAGGTGAGCTTTTGATGGCGCCCTTGTATCTGCCCACCGCAGAGCTGGCCTGGTGGGAAGCAGCCTATTGAGTCCATCCAACTTCACTTCCCACGGCTGCTCTGATGGCCCACTTTTTGTACTGCTTTAGTGTTTTGAACTGAGTAAAGACACTACGTTAGGAGTAGGTTAGGAGTTGAGCAGCTGGACACTTGGGGCTTGGAAATTTGTGGTGGAGGGGAGGGGAGGGATTATAAAGTAGTAAAGATTCAGTCCTCCTCAAATAATTATGTGGACAGACTAGATACAAAATGTACCATACTTTAACTATAGTTGCACAGTAATATCTATGTAAATGCAGAAAGACAGTACTCACTGCTTCAGTCCTGGTACATGTACCTACATGGACATCAATTGCCAAAGTGAGTCAGTGCCTGAAAACCTTACTAGTAAGAAATAAAAGGCTATCACCACACAATATAAAATACTGTTCCTTTGAAAACGGTTTACCCTGGTTCATTTAAACAAATAGACGCTCAAAGATATTACTGTGAATCAGCATAG